GTCTTAGTCTGTTTACAGGCTTATTCAGTAATGTGCAAGAATGTGGATGTGACTCCTAGGTAATAACCTTCTACACTGTATGTTAGGTGGCTTCCATTAGTATGCCACCCTAGTGTAATGCAACACGTGAAGTATGTCTCCACATGCATGTTGATGCTGGCAGTTCATCTTCTTGCAAAGGACTTCCATTTTCCTTGTATGTTCACCTGAAATCCCACACCAAGAGTGATGTTCCAAACACCACTATGGAATATTACATGTCAGTGAATACTGTCCGACAGCATGGGCTGCTGTTTGTGCCTGCTCATTGCAAGGAATTTATCCCCTCAAGGCTAATTCCTGCAGCATAGGACTAAGCGGGTATTCAAGCAGCCATTCTGAAGTATGTATTTAAGTTTTATGTTGTCAAAACCAAATCAGTCGTGGAAGTTTATTGAATTCTTGCCATATGAAATAACCGGCAGCTTGCTGGATCAGGATATGTAAGTGTAGGAAACTTATTTTTAAAATAACACGCACCATATAATCATATTCAAAATAGTATTTTGTAAATGTAGAACATAAGGATTTTGTGTTACAAATAAGATTGGGCCTGAGTTAGTCATCCTTCAACCACATGCACAGTACAGGCACAGAGGGATGTAGACCCAGAGAACAACCTTAATTCAACAAAAAGGAAAAATCCCTTTAGAAGCCAGACAGTTGCTTGTGTCATCAGCCAAGTGAGACAATTTGAAGACCTTAGGGAAGTGAATGAGAAAAAACTGGAGTTGAAAATCTGACAGTGGTTTTCAAAGATCTGGCTAGGATGTATGCCTGTCAAACATGAAATGTTGGGGAAGTTCTAGTTTCTTGTCCACTGAAGATTTTCTTTCTGGAAATGATCTCCCAGGGACAAAAAAAAGAGTTAACTTCTGAGGAAGACATAGGATGTGCCAACAAAAGGCTGTACGAAAGGCCTGTTCTGTCCCGTGAAAGAGTTGCAAGTGAGGTCTTGGATGTGAGCTGACCCATAAGGCATAGGCACAAATCTGGACTGTTCTTTGAAAACCAGTTTGAAGAGAAATTGGAAGAAGCATTGGAGACTAACCAACTGAAAGCCTGGCTTCTGCTGAGTTGCTCTCTTAAGTCTGGTGTTCCTCTATTTTACACTTACACTGCAATTTCAGTATTGGTGTGTGAGTACCTTGACACTTAAGATTTTTGTTCGGCTTTCTAGTGGTGTGGTACTTCTGTCACTTGTTTAATGGTAGGTCATTTCAGTGTACTTGGTCAACACAAAGTTAAACGATCTTCCTCTGTGACTTGGGCTGGGGAACTGAAAAGAATAGGGCAATTTTGCCCTTTTGCTTTAGTTTAGGAAAATAGGTGCTCATGGCTTTTTATAAATGTTGACATTTGTGATGATGTATCTGTTTTTTCTGTAGAAAGGCATTTAAGGCATGTTCACTCAAGTGTAGTTATTCAAGACTTACATGTGTAACATTACCAAATTCCTTCTGAAAAGGAGTTCTCCATCCATCTCCCATTTTAGCTGTTGGCATCTGCTACAAAATACTGCATTACATGACCTGAATAGAAGCAGAACACTCTTGTTCAAACCCCTCATGCACCTGCTGAAGCAGAGGGCACTGTTGCATATTCTGTCACTGATTTACATAACAGTATTTTTGGCTTACACCAAGTGAATGAGCTATTCTATTCCAGACACTTGTTTTCTGTTTGGCAACATGCATTGTCTGCTTTCCTCAGTTTCTCCTTTCTGCACCCATTTCTCATCCAGTGAGTTCCTCAAGAGTTTCTATCTTCTTGTAAAGTTGCTCACAAATTATTCCAGCTCTTGTGCTGCTGTAAAATTGTAATGTTCTGCCTCCTAGCCTGGCTTTCTAAGGAAAAGATGCTACACAGGGCTAAATTCAAATGTGATTACTTGAATTCCTATGAGTGAAAACTGGCATCTTGATGGATGTTAATTAGCTTTGGCTGAGGAAGAATAAGCCTTTTAGTTGTTTGGCTCATGTGATGACTGAAAAGCAAGGGCTCACTCATCGTTTAGGAAGCGTGTACTGGCCTGCTAGTTGGCACATATGCACGCTATGCCATGGCTTGTCCAAAAGTGATTTTCACCTAGCTGTTAGAGCTGTCAGTTGCAGGCAAAAAAGAGAGGACACAAGGTTACAGTGGCGTGAAACTGGGGAAGTCAAGGGGAGATGCAATACCTGAGGCCAATAACCTGAGGGGTAGATTTCACAGTTATGGGGAAAACCTGTTGTATCAGTTTTTCTGGCCACAGAAGGGCTTGTAACAATTGGGGATTTTTATTTTGCTGTTCTTTTATGGAAAGGCTGAAAATAAAACTTACACTGCTACTAATATATCCAGAGATGATATCTGCATGTCATTCCTTCAACCAGAAGGCTCTTAGTGTAATAAAAATGCTTTCTGAACTGAACTCTGAGCCTATAAAAATGCTCCGTTAATCCTGTTAGTGTTGTCATCCCCACAGACTTGCTTTCTAAATGAGGAATATTCATGGAATCAGGCTGGTGTCCTAGGTGGCTGGAGACTTTTATTCTAATGGTTAGTTACTGATCACCCACTAGAGGGCTTAACCTCTTTGGGGAAGCATAACTACCGTGAAGTTTGGAGGTGCAAGGAGAGAACCTGTTCATAGGAATGTTTCTTTTCATAACGCCCTGGTTCTGCAGGGATGGCAATCAAGCTCTTGTCACTGAGCATCTGCTCTGGCCAGAGGCACCCTTCCACAGAGAAACAGTAACAGTTTGGTCTTCAAGCCCCTGGCCAGGTTCTTGAGCAGTTGTGGAGGTGGGTCTTGGAAGGGAAGAAATGCTCATAACCTTGTTATCATCCAGTTCCTTCCTTAGTTTCACTGATGCCAATCCTTAGGAAGATCAGGTGCACACATCAAGATGTGGCCTCACTTGAACTGAAAATACCAATTCAGTGAAGGCTGGAGTGTGAGCTCTAAAAAGTACAGTGTTTTGTTAATGATGACAACGGATCCAATTCCAAACCAGGGCATGCTTGTACCCATGGCACTGAAGGCAGTTATTTTCTAGCCCACTATTTATAACCCTAATAAACTGTGTAAGATATATATATAATTAAGTCCTTGCAAATGTTTTGTTGGAAAATGTGGGGCAAATTTTCACTGTAATATAGAAATGTATTAATATTCAAATGTTTAAATATTATTTTAAAAGAAAAATCTGTAACCTAAAAATGTAACAGTAGCATTTTTAAGTGTAGATCACTGTATTGCTTGTTTTCTTACAAAAGTATTTTCTAATGCATTTTTTCTGCTCAGATGTTTCAGAAGTCCCAATCTACTAGTATTTTATTATTTGGGTATATAGTGTGTATCATTACCTCAATATAATTTGATTATTAATATAGTCCTCTGAGTTCAGTGTACGTGGCTGAATAATTTTTTTTCCTTATTAGCTAACATCCTTAATATACTTGAGAATGTGCTGGTTCCTACCCTGCCTTAAGGAGAGATACCCAGACCTAGTGAAGCCTCTTGCTCTGCCTCTTATAAAATCCCTTTGCAGCTGATGAGGTTTAACCTACTTCTTAAATATTAGAAGTTAAACAACTAAAATACTAACATTGACCAAATATTAATATATAAATATATTAATGTATATTAATACATAAATATATATTAATATATATTAAAAGGATAATTTCAGTTAAACTAAGAGTTCATTTGTATTAATGGATTTATTTTTAAAGCTGCTTATGAAGCATGGTGTGAAATAGTCTTGAGGAATGAAAGACTTCAAGATCAGACTTCTCAGAAGAGTTTGAAAGAGTTTCTAAACCAGACATAGCTTGAAAGTAAGATAGCATAGGGACTGGTAATGGAATTTGGAAACTCTAAAGCTTGAGTTCATCTCCACTTGATCCTTTAAGAGTAGGTTTATGAGAGGGTGAAATGTTGATAGGTGCCACCAAATAGTTCACAGTCTGCAAGTATAACTACAGCAGTTTGTTAATTTGGATCAGGAACTTCCTTCTTTTGCTTCTCTGGCACTCCAAAGTAGTTTCGGACCACTCTGGTGGTCTCTATCCCTAGATAGTCAGAAGTAAAAACAAGGCAAAAAACCTCTTGAAATGTGAATTATGTGAATGTTAGCTTCTCAGATCCAACCGTAATAAATTAATTCTTAAGAGATACTCCAAACACAGCACAGTGTGATAACACATGTCATTTTGCAGTAATTATCCTTGGACTACCAGTGATCCCAATCTCAAAATAACATGAGTAGTAGGAGTTTCAATTAGCATTATATGTATCTTTAAAAGCACAATTTTTAATGATTCTGTTAATATTTGGGTAAAGCAGGTAAGATTTTTCTGTTTTAAAATATAATTTTTAATTTGGGTGAAATGGAAGTTCATGTCTCTCTTTTTAGGATAGATAAGGAACATTATATGTTACTTTCTCAAACCGTTTAGTTATAGTTTACAGAGTAGCATCATTGCAGTGTCTTGCAAAGGTATTTCACTGTAATAAGCAGTAAAGCAACACTCAGTTCAAGCCTCAAAGCACACAAAGGTGTGTGACGACTGAAGGAACTCTAAAACAACTATCATGTTGTGGCAACATTTGTGTGTCATTGTTTGCTATGTTATAAAGGGCTGATTCAATTCAACAGAGGAGTAATACTCGCAGGTCTAGTCAAAGTGTAACTAATACAGACTCTGCTGAAGAGTTACTATGCATTACTAATGAGAGACATGCAGCCAGAAAGTAGTATGCAGTGATTGAAAAGCTCCTGAAGCTGTGTGTAGCTACCAAACTTGATGTCTCCTTTTCTTTTCACTTTTTGCATTGCGTTATTTTAAATAATGCATCCAGCTATCTGGCTTTTAAAGGATTTAAACACACTGTAGAAATACCTACTTCTAAGATGCCATCATAATCAAAGTCATTAATTTGGATAAATTCCCTGTTACTAAGTTATACTGAAATGAACATTGTGGGAAAACTCAGTTTAATGGTACCGTGGAGTATATTCATGCTTCATTCACTGCTGTCCTCTTTGCAAGGTAAGAAATTTATTCAATTTTCTATATAATGCTAATTTTTATGAGGATTTTTTTCCTAAATATTTTAATATTACAACTTCTTCTTTTTCTATCATTACAAAGCAACTTTTTTGACCCTTTCTGGAATTCATACATAAAAAAAGTTTTTTAACACAGGTTAAAATACTGTATATCTCCATTCTCTCTCACAGGTGCAGAAACTAAAACACAGCTCTTTTTCCTTTTATTAAGATACATTTTTATGCCTGAATTTGTTACAAAACAATTATTTAGGAACTAAATTTTAGACTTTTTTTTTTTTTAATCTTGTCATTATTGTCAGATGAGTAAGCACCTAATGATCTTCAATGGGGTATGATTTTGTTTGAACATACTGCACCTGCCATTTGTTTAAACATATTTAGAATGCTAGGGTGAATAATCACTCTTCTGGTTATAGAAATGATCTTATTTTCTATACAAATGAATCTTGTAGATAGTTTTCTTGCAGTAATTATAAAGATTTCTAAGCAATATGAGAAAAAAAGCAGGGGGGGGGTTATATTGTTTGTTTTAAAAAGCCTGAACTCCAGAGCATTTTAAATGATTTTCAGCTGAGTCTTACAAGTAACATTCGGAAAACGATTATAGGTATCCACCCTAGAAGTCTGATTCTGGAAAGCTCTGAGCACCTCTTGTATTTTATCAATTTTGTTTCGAGCCTCTGAAGAACTATGAAAGTTTTGCTTTTTTTCCTTGGTAGCACATACCAGAACTGAGATGATGGGAACTAGATGGTCAGTACTTAAGAGTCAAATCCTTACAAAGAAAAGCATATAGCGCTACATCCTTTGGAAACAGAAAATGTTTGTGTGAAGGTGCTCTGGAAAACTTAGGATCATTAAAGAACAAAATTCAATAGAGTTGTTTTAAACTTCACAGACTGTAGAAAAAACATCTAACTTGGTGACTTTTTAATCTACAGGATCTTATTGCAAGGTTTCTCTTTTGAGAAGAAATTTCAGGTAATTTTTTTCCCCTTACTTGTTAAGTCCTACAAACAGAACAAGAATGAAAAAAGTGTGACACATTGCAAATTAGAAAGTAAAATACAGCCTTGATTTTGACATGTAAAATGCTATGTACATGTACATTGGCTGTAAAACACACCTTCAGAATGTTTACAACTCTTTTCAAAGACTTACATGAAGGGCATGGGTCCTTTGTTTGAAAATTGCTTGGAAAATGGAGGTCCTTATGAAAAGTGATACTTCTATGCTGTTGAGAAAGCTTAGAGGAATAATGGCATGAAACCAGCATGAGATCATGATTTTGTGACTGGAAAAATACATTAAATGAGTATCCTTCAGCAGTTTTAATTGCATGGTAAAATCCTAGCTGCTATTTGAAGCACAGAAAATTAAGTGCTATACAGCCTTAAGATAAACATTTTCAATACAAATTTTCATGTAGAAGATAAAATCCAAACAAAACCCAAACTAGGGAATGTTCCTGATCCCATTGAATTAAATGGGAACTATGCCATCAATTTCAATAGAAGCACCCAGTCAGACATAGCTTCAGATGTTTAATGATGTCTAACACATCTAGTGAACGCACGTCAGATGATATGCCATCTTGGACTGTTGATAAAAGTAAGTAGTTTGATGTTCTTGTTTCTAATCTTAATCAGAAATTTAAGGCAATAAAAGATGGAGAGTTATCTCTTGCTATTGCAAGTACCATCATGGTATATTGAAATAATACTTGAGGGAGCTCACAGCCACTCACATGCAGTATCAAGTAAATATGAAGCTGCTTTACAACTTTGTATCCTGTTGTGTAAGCCTATTTTGCCTATTTACGTCTCCCCCACAAGCTCCAGGTACCTCCCTGTGCAAGCAGATACCAGAGTGCTGCCCAATTCTGTAAAATGAGATCACACAAAAAAGAAAGAAAAAACCCACCTTTTTAAATGTTAACCCAAGAAAGACTGCTTTGATAAAGCGATGGTAATCAGAGAGAAACACTTCTCTCTGGGGAGCTGCTAATTCAGGTTGCTCCGGGGACCGTTGATTATACAACATCCTTTTTGTTTTCTTCCAGAAATGACTTTAATGCAACTAGACAGAAAAGAGATCTCATAACAGCCGAGGTAGGTTATACTTCCAAAAGCAGGAGGGAGGGAAAACCCTTCCTGCTTTTCTGCTCTGGGCTTTTGCTATGCTTACAAAGGAGCCTTTGTGAGGAGAAGGACAACGGTAACAGGAGGACAGTGTTGAAGAGCAGTAGCTCACCCCCCTCCTGAGCCCATACCCTCATGCCTTCATCCTCACTCAGCAAAGCGCCTGGTGGGTGACCCATTGACGAGCTGACTGACGCACACCACAGGAAACAAACCTGCAATTCCTTTGTCTGTTATGAGGGGGAACAGAAAGCTGTGGAAAGCTGTTAGTTTGGTGGGAGCCATGATGACGGCACCACAGCAATGACCCCTCGCACATGTGGTGCAGTGGTCCTTCCAGCCCAGCCCTGGTGCCTACCACTCTGGTCCACTGCTGCCTCAGTGCTGTATCTCAGCAATGTTGTGCTGAAACTTAATAGTAAATGGTGGAATATCATTCCCCAGCTGGTACACATCTCAGGCTACAGAAGCCCAATCAGGGTTTTGTAACCCTGTTTGATGAGGGAAGATGGGTCGCCCAAGGTGATTGCTCCTCATGGTCCTGTGGGGAGCCCGCAGCTGAACCATGGATGGTTTTCTCCAAGTCTCTTTGAGATCCATGTGCCTCCTGGCCGAGTCAGAAGGTAGCTGGTGTGAAACGCTGCACTAAGGTGAATCAAACCCCTGAGGAAAACAGGCCCTCAGGACTGATGGTGTCTCAGGAGGGCGATCAGCAGGAAAGTGCTTTTGCAGCAAGGGCACTCTGCCTTCCTGAGATAACTTAAAGGCCAAGAACTGCTTTCCAGATGAGGACAGGTCTGGGTAGCTATCAGGGTAAATGGACGCGGGTCTTGTTCAGGAAGGGAAAGGATTCTCTCCAGTTAGCAGCAGGCCATGGAGACCAGGAATAGTTTTGGTGCAGGGGCTGTTCAAGTGGTGATTTGATGAAGTCCATTTCAAGTTGATTTTAGATGGATTGTGCTACTTGGATTCATCCTACATAGTATTTCCATTTGGAAAAGGGAAGTTTTAATGTCATTGTGCAAGGCATTAGGGAAACTTCACCTAACCCGTTCCATGTTCGCTTTGAGATCTATTAGTTCAAACTCCAGAAGTGGAGAATGACTGGTGGCAGGAGGGAAGAAAGAAATTAGCTTACAAGTAAAGACTTTAACAATTTGTTTTGCTTACTTGTGCAGCTGAAGGCTGGCATTTACGTCTGTGGGAGCACAGAGGGTTAGCTCTTTTCTCATAGAACATCAGAGATGGAACAAATAACCACAGGGAAGAGCTATTTAAGCAAAAGGGCCAAGCTTTATAAAGCTAAACGATTTAAACTGGCCATAAAATATTCAACTACCCAGCACTTCACCCTGATAAACTTCCCAATCAGACTAGTGGGGGCAAAAACCCCTGAGTGCTTTCAGCCTGGGATGGGATCAGTTCCTGGAAGAGACGATGCAACGTCTGCTGTAGTAGCAGAGTGCTGGGTCTGATCCAAGGCTTCCTTATAGTCCAATGTTCCTTGGTTCCTAAACAAGACAGGGAGCAAGTCAGGCAGATCTGCCTCCTCTTTTGTTTTGGGTGAACCAAAATGCAATTCTGAAGGGTCTCAAGGAGAACATGAAATTCATTGCAGCTAAAGTGGCCACAGTGTGCAGCACAGAGCAAGATCTAGAAGAGAGGATGAAATGGATGGATATCACATCTTTGAGCCCTCCAACTATTGGTATTTGACCACAGTGAAAAGGGCAGGAGTGTTCTCTGTCCCGTTACTCGTCTTTCCAAATGTAAATGCAAAACTTTTCAGGTGCAGTCTTGCTGGTTCCTTGGTGCTGGAGGGCATGGAAAGGAGGCCATCAGTGAACCTACAGCACAGCTGTATCCTTCCATGCTTCTCCTCCCCATGATGCTGGTTGCTGCAGTCACTGCCTTTCACACTGGCTCATGCTGCCAATCCCTCCTTCAGCACCCATGGCTGTTCAGTGTGCTGGCTGAGCCACAAATTATTCTTCTGTATTAGAAATCCCAACCCAGTGTTAGGCTGCAGGGCTTCAAGCTCGTATCGGCTCATTTCTAAAAAGCAAACACCCTGATTTTGCTTTTATGTTTCTCTGACAGGTTCGAGCTTCCTCTGCTCTGTCACATCTTCATGGGGCCTTGACACGGAGTCCTCCAGGAGGTCAGTGCCATGCTCCTTACTTGCAAGAGGAGAGATGGTCCTGAAAACGTTGCCTTCCCACCAGCTCTCCTGTGTTACTGTCGGTTGTGGAAGCCCTCTTCATTGTGTCCCCTACAGAACTGGGCCTTGTCTTATTTACTAGTTTTATCCATGTTAAATCTGGAGAAGGACTTTTTACAAGGGCATGTAATGAGCGGACAAGGGAGAATGGTTTTGAACTGACAGAAGGGAAATTTAGATTAGATAGTAAGAGAAAATTCTTCACTATGGGGGTGGTGAAACACTGGCACAGGTTGCCCGGAGAAGTTATGAATGCCCCATCCTTGGAAGTGTTCAAAGCCAGGTTGGATGGGGCTTTGAGCAACCTGGTCTAGTGGCAGGGGTTTGGAACTGGATGATTTTTAAGGTTCCTTCCAAACCAAGCCATTCTATGATTGCATGGAAGTTCGTGTTAAAATAATACTTTTAAAATACTTTCAAAAACAGGAACAGCAAACTAAACCAATACTTTAAAAAAAAAATGTTTAGAGGTGTAGTTTTGTTGTAATTTTTGTTTTCTCCCCCTTTTTCTGTCTTTGGCAGAGGATGTAAGCATGTCTGAGAGGCATGTAACTGGTTATGTAAAGGGACAGGGGTGTTCAAGGAATGAGCATGCAGCTGCTCCTGAAGGGTTTTTAGCATTGTACAAACACATAAAGCAGGTCCAAGTTACAGAAGCTGTTTTGCAGAACAGTATTTTGTATCCAACTGAACTTTGATATCCTTCCTGGAAAATACGTATGTCTGGGTAGGTGCTTTCTGTTGTGTTTTTCCATGTAAATAAATATATGTAATTTTACAACCCACAATTCTAACAACAGCAAAGAAGTTTTCCACAGTAGTGCTGTTCTATAAACAGCGTTTTCTGCTTTGTCGGTATTTTCAGAGTATCTGTGTATATTTGGAAAGCAATTCTTAAATGGAAAAAATTCAAAACTAAGCATGGAAATGAGTTTTCACAGTGAAGGCTGATGTTCTTAGTCATTGGTAACTTCTGTGTGTGCTTTATTATGAAGGTCCCATTTTGTTCCCATTTAATGTCATTAGCAGCTTTACCATGGCATGGAAGGGCCTGTTTATGTCATTTACTTCTTGCTTTTCGCAATGCTTTTTTAATCTGTCAGCAAGATTGTAAGCATTTATATCTAGAGTTTTCATGCTCCCCCAAGAAGGAAAGCAACTATCTGCAAAACGTGATGAAATTTTGCTTTTTGTGGGGAAAGGGACTACTTTTCTTCCCCACTTTTTGGGGAACTGTGATTTAAACCCACCTCAGCAAATCATTACTAGATGACAGTGAGGTTTAAGCTTCCAAACAGGCTATAAACCCCTTAATGAAACTGCTTTTGGAAACAATTACTAATTATAATACCAAACGAACCATTCCCATGGAATCCGAAGCCTCTGACTCCAGTCACCACTTATGAAGAAATAACCTTTTTTTTTAGCATGGAGGGAAGGTTATTTATAATTGTTTTTTACTCTGTAAATTATATATTCTGAACTGCTCAAAACTGACTATACCCTTTGCTGGAATGCTTAGGAGGGAGGAGCTGGACGTGTATAAACTGTGCTGAATTTACTCAATTAGAATAATCTGTGTCCTGTGTATTTCAAGATCAGCAGGACTGGGATTTGATTTCTTTACATGGGAACTTGACCTTTTGTTTGCTGGGAGGAGGTTGACCTTTTGCTCCTTTGTTAGTTTACAAGTCTCAAACCAAATGGGAGAGAACCTTGCTTCTCTTTTAACCAAGGAACACAAAGGATAAAACGAAGTAGATGTTAAAAACTGGAGACTGTTGTTGGTTAATTTCCTTAGCTGATATAACTGCTTATGATTTAACAATAAACAGATTTAATGCGGATCTCTCAGCCTGTTTGCAAAATGCTGTGTCTGCTAAAAGGCTGCTATGCTTGTTTATAGGTTCATGTCCCCTGGAGTGCCTTAATGGAGCAGCCTGCACAGAGGCAGGTGACTGTGACTGTCAGTTATTTCAGGCTCAAGGAAAGAGGTGCCAAATTGGTGAGTTTTGGGCCCAAAGAGACGAGTTTCAGATTCAAGTGAGACTTAAGGTGCGGGTTTTTGAAACAACACTGTTAACAGCATATTTGTGATTCCCCTGTGGTAGGACTGTCATTCCACTAGTACCTAATAAGATTAAAATGATATGTATTAAGGGTATATAAAAAGCAATATCAGGAATGCCTCCATTTTAGCACTTGAGCTATAACGATGCATAGATACTGTAACAGATAGATCACTGTCTAGTACAACAGTAGCCGGCCAACATTTTTTTGTAGTTAGCTGAATAACCAAAAAGTCACTGCATTTTTCTAACAAATAGTGACTTATTTCAAATAAAATTACCAGCTATTTCAATGCACTGGAACCAGAGCAGGGTTCTGGTTTCTGTGTGTAGGGACCAACAAGAATTGTCTTCCAAGATCTGCAGTAGACCTAAATCTCTTGCCTCTACTTCTCATAGAATCATAAAATAGTTAGGGTTGGAAAGGACCTTAAGATCATCAAGTTCCAACCCCCCTGCCATGGGCAGGGACACCTCACACTAAACCATATTACCCAAGGCTCTATCCAGCCTGGCCTTGAGCACCGTCAGGAATGGAGCATTCACAAATTTCCTGGGCAAGCCATTCCAGTGCCTCACCACTCTTAAGGAACTTCTTCCTTATATCCAATCTAAACTTCCCCTGTTTAAGTTTTAACCCATTACCCTTGTCCTATCACTACAGTCCCTAATGAAGAGTCCATCCCCAGCATCCCTATAGGCCCCCTTCAAATACTGGAAGGCTGCTATGAGGTCTTCATGCAGCCTTCTCTTCTCCAGGCTGAACATCCCCAACTTTCTCAGCCTATCTTCATATGGGAGGTGCTCCAGTCCCCTGATCATCCTCGTGGCCCTTCTCTGGACTTGTTCCAACAGATCCATGTCCTTTTTATGCTGAGGACACCAGAACTGCACACAATACTCCAAGTGAGGTCTCATGAGAGCAGAGTAGAGGGGCAGGATCACCTTCTTTGACCTGTTGGTCCCCCTCCTTTTGATGCAGCCCAGGATACGGTTGGCTTTCGGGGCTGTGAGCACACACTGAAGCCGGCTCATGTTCATTTTCTCATCGACCAGCACCCCCAAGTCCTTCTCCACAGGGCTGCTCTGAATCTCTTCTCTGCCCAACCTGTAGCTGTGCCTGGGATTGCTCCAACCCAGGTGTAGGACCTTGCACTTTGCTATGTTGAACTTCATGAGGTATTGAGATTCATGAGGTGAAGTATATAATAATTAGAATGTCTCCACTGAATAAAATGTAAAACTTACAATGATCTCACATGATTAAAACCGTATCATAAGGATTTAAAAAAAAATTGACTATATTTAAAGTTGAAGAAGTTAGGTTATCTTTTGTCCTTGCTATGTATTTCCTTTTAAGCTCTTATTCCCTTTCTGAGCTCTTACTTTTGTAGATGCCTGTGACACTTGTCAGTGTTTTACTGTGCTGCTTGTAAGCTCAATATGTTGCCTCCAGTACCCAATACTGGTAAGGACCGAGATGGGATTTGCAAATCGTGGGGACAGTATCACTTTGAAACATTTGATGGCATCTACTACTACGTCCCAGGAAATTGCTCCTATATTTTTGCAAAAGACTGCAGTACTCCAGAACCACAGTACACTGTTTGGGTAAGTGTGTGAGCATATGCTCGAAATAACACACTGAGCATTCCTGCATTACAGGAATTTTATTTTAAGTAAAATAAATAGAGAGACAATAAGTGGATCAGGCTGTTGCATTGCTTACTTACATATAAAACTGTGCTGCTGGAAAATGTCTAAGCCTATGTGCAGTAACTCAAACCACTGATGAAATGATAATCAACAGTCAGTATATTAAAAATAGTATTTCTTACTCCCCCTATCCTAAAAAGGATCTCTGATCTCTCTTTTCTGGAAGCAAAAGTCCTAAAGCAGACCTTGGAAACAGCAATAAAATTTAGCTATCAGGTTGTAAAAAAATTTGAGTTGCTGAGTAAAATGCAAGCAGCTATCACCTGCCTGAGAGCTGGGCTCCCAAGCATACTGGGATATTGGGATAGTGGGATACTGGAATACCAATTCACAGCCATTGGCATGCCTATGGGGAGCTGCCTCCATCACCCATGGAAAATGCTGTCCCCTTGGTGGATTTGCATTCTAATTTTAGGTTATCTCTACCTCATGCAGCAAATATTAACAGCTCAAAAGCGTTCATTTTCTCATAAGCATGGAAGGCACTCTTTTTAGTAATTTCCTCAAATTGCCAAATATCAGTGGTTAATGACTTTGGGTCAGGGAGAGTTCATACCTGTACCCTCTTTGAAGGAAGATGCCTTATTTATCAGGCTGTTGGTTACTGTGGGGAGAGGATATGAGCTCATTGTACTACATTTTACACACTGGGATTTGGTGCTGACTGGGCAGGGGAGAGGAGACACGAGGGATCCTAATTCTGAGCCCTGGTGGTCAAAGTCCCCCAGGGCAAGGGCAGACCTAGATGCTGATTTCTGCTCCAAGAACTAGTTTTCCTTTACAAACACACAACCTCCTCTTCCCCCAGATATCACCTAGTGAAGATAAATCTGCCATTAAAACTACCATTTCCATTCACTCAGGTTATAGACAGATGCTGGTACATCTGTCTTCCAAGATTTCATTTTAATTCTTTGGATTCTGTGTGCAGCTGTCTTTTAAGACTTTTCAGAAAATGCTGTACCAAAGCTCAAGCTTGTATTAAAATTTAAAATCAATATTTGAGTGGATTCCAGCTGCTCTGGAAAGAGAGAAACTACCATTCAATTGCTGGAATAAATGTCACGCTTTGCTAAAAACTGAAAATGTTTATTCAGAAAAGTCATAAGTAAGGTTGAAACAATGCAGTCTCTACAGGCTGGGCAATGGAAAGCCAAGAACTTTGTCAGATCCTCACATTATTGTCCTTCTGGCTTTAATAATCCACCTGTCTTGAAAGGGAATACAAGAATTATTTAATTTTCCTTGATTGTGTTTCTGTCTTGGTCCAGGTTTACATAAAAACCAGAACCAATAACTTTTATGATGTCTTTAGTTATTATTATCTTTACACATAAGTATAAACTATAAGTAAAAAGTATAAGTAAAAACTCTTATGCTTTCCTCCTTTGGTTTATTTCACTCAGAGAAACAGTAACTGGTTTTTACTTCCAGGATTAAGTGTCAGTTTAGGAAGATTAATTTGAGTATGTGTTACCACTGTACGTATTTACCAACAGATCTTTTCTAAAAAGCCTGATAGCGCTAGTCACTTTTGAAGTTTCCTTTGCTATGTTGGCAAGATGTTTCCCAGTTAGTAACCTGTTTAGGTTCACAGCATTGTCAAATAAATTGGCAATGCAACTCCCATCCTTCTCAAAGAACAGTGACACACACTCATAGGAATCATATTCCAGCTATCTAAACTCTGTCTACATTTTAATTTACCTAAATTATAGGTACGTAAAATTCACAACTCATTCCTCTGTCTCATCAGTGTGGTCTAAATTCATCTCACAGACCATAGTCTAGGGCATCCCACAGGACTGGGTGTCTCATCTTCACTGATATTAATGAAAGCTGTTGAAGTTTTGCTCAAGCCCTTGGAGTAGGTATGTGCTTAAAACCCATTCAGACTACGTGAGTGTAATTAACTGTGTAGTTAAATGTTTAGAGCATAGGCACAGAGAGTTGGAGACCTACATCCCTAACATCAGTCAGAGTAAATGTGAACCCACAGTTTCCAAGTCCTGAGAGAACGTCCTGGCCAACGAAACTATGTGATGTCTGGGAACAGGGACTTTTCTGCAGGAACTGTGATCTGCCATGCAGAAGGCTGGCAGTGCAAAGAAGCCTCCTTTTTGCCAGATTATACAAAAGAAGAGTGCTAGTTTATCATGCTGGTTTCAAGGTCTGATTACACATTTTTTTATGCAAGATCTACTTGGCTGCCATCAAACTGTAGACATGCAGTAGACAAAGAGTAGACATCCAAAATCTCAGCAAATCCTGAGTGATTCAGGAAGATGTGCTGTAGTTCAGCTGGTGGCAGTATTTATTTGTAAAACTCTTTCAGTAATTAGTGCATAGAAATGAGGAATATCATACATGAGTTTATGAAAAATTGCATGATGACATCATTGAGAACATTTATTCTTATTGTGCGTACATTTTTCCTCTCTAAGGTTCATAACAGTCCTCACTGTTATGGTTCTGTATATACTTGTCAGAGGTCCATCAGCTTGTTTTTTTCAAACCAAGAAGAAATAATTATTTCAGGACATGAAGTAAGAAAAGATGGAATCAGGTAAGTGTTCTAACAGTTGATTTTAGCATGTTCTAATGGTTTGATTTTAAATGGTTGAATTTAATTGCAAAAAGATAGTGTGGAGTTTGGGAAATTAATGCTTTTTACATCAGCCAGAGAAAATGGTTTGATACATATGTTTATTGATTGCTCACTGTTCTATATTGTTCTGCTCTGACAGAGCTCTTGTGTGAGCAGATGTAATGGTGCAGATGTAATACCTGAGTGAAGATAGCGTACACTTGCCACATGAATCTTGTTTTCAACTTCTCAGCTGCAACCTAACAATTACCCATCCATACTTTATATAGACAAAGTCTGTATCAGGCAATTCCAGCTAATCCTTGGTGCATCCTGATACCATTTTTATCAAGGCAGTTATTATTTGTTCTTGGTAGCAATACTTAATGTAAGACATAATCTTCTAGACAAATCTGAATTGGTTGAATCAAAGATCTTAAGCCCCCTTTTGGGCAAAAATTCCACAAACCATATCTGAGGTACATCAAACCCTCAAATTTACCTTTTTTTTTCCTAAATAAGTAAAAAGATGAATGTAAGGCTATCATGTTTTACTGGTTAATAAAGTACAGGAAAATTTCAAAGAGTTGTGGCCATACCTTTCAATATAATGTATCTGTTAGCATCTGAGAGTGATAGCTACTGTGATCCTGGTCATCCCAGCAGAAACTACTTTGGAAGATTAGTATTAGATCTGTACTGCCATGTTATTGTCCAGTGGTCTTTGTCCAAAGGAGGAAGAGACAGAGTATTTTGGTCAATAGTTCTGTGCTGTAAGTTCCTCCATTTGCAGATGACGGCCAGGAGACCTCCATGTATGGATAAGGAGCTACTGAGGAAACTTAGAGGGAAAAAAGAGGTTTGTAAAAGGTGGAAGCAAGGACAGGTGGCCTGGGAAGAATACAGGAATGCTGTTTGGGAAGCTAGGGACCACGTTAGGAAAGCTAAGGCCCATTTAGAATTACACTTGGCTAGGGATGTGAACAATAACAGGAAGGGATCCTGTAGGTACATTGAAAATAAAAGACAGACTAGGGACAATGTAGGCCCCCTCTGGAAGCTGTCAGGAGAACTGGCTACCCTGGATTTGGAGAAGGCTGAGGTTCTGAATGACTTCTTTGCCTCAGTCTTCGCTGGCACTGACCACACCACCCAAGTCTTGGAAGGCAGACACAGGAACTGTGAGCATGAAGAGCTTAGGCCAACTGTAGGAGATGATCTGGTTTGAGACCATCTTAAGAACCTGAATATGCACAAGTCCATGGGTCCTGATGAAATCCATCCATGGGTCATGAAGGAGCTGAGGAATGAAGTTGCTAAGCCACTGGCCATCATATTTGAAAAATCATGGCAGTCAGGTGAAGTAATGGGTTAAAACTTAAACAGGGGAAGTTTAGATTGGATATAATGAAGAAGTTCTTTCCTGTTAGGGTGGTGAGGCACTGGAATAGGTTGCCCAAAGAAGTTGTGAATGCTCCATCCCTGGCAGTGTTCAAGGCCAGGTTGGACAGAGGCTTAGGTGACATGGTTAAGTGCAAGGTGTACCTGCCCATGGCAGGGGGGGCTGGAAGTTGATGATCTTAAGGTCCTTTCCAACCCTAACTATTCTATTCTGTGATTCTATTCTATGTTTAACCCAGTGATGACCCTGTGCCCAAAAAGGCTGCTGGTGGTCATAATGTCATTCATAGCTCCTCACACAATGCACCAGGCTCATGAAGTTGTGTATTCCTCAGTGTGCCCATGCTAGGCTTTGAAAATAAAGATTCATTATTCTTTCAGGTTTCTAATTTGTACAACCAATAGATGTATACAGAACAGCATTCATTTTTGATGTTGCATATAGATAAGTAAACAGAAGAAAAGATAGGAAAAACATGATGAAGAATTGAATGGAAGTGACTGTATACACCTGGAAAAGAGGGTTTAGGGAGTTAGAAGGTGATGTTTTATGTGGCAGTTTTCTAGCACTAACTTAACTGAAGCAGGCTGTTTATTTTTTCAGATTAGTGTTGCCTCAGACAATTGGAAATGCTTTCTTTGAGAGACTGGCTGACTATATTCTGGTGAAGACCACCTTTGGTTTTTCTCTTGCTTGGGATGGAAACTCTGGTATTTATATTAAGCTGACAGAAGATCAAAAGGGAAAACCTTGTGGCCTCTGTGGAGATTTTAATGGCAATAAACATGATGACCTGAAACTGCAAAACAGTAAGTCAGTAGCCTGGAAATACACCCTTGTGCAAACAGGTTCCTCTATTTGCAATGGCCCAAGTAAATAAGTTGCTGCAAGGCATGTAATACTCCATTTCAAAGCACAGTTTAAAACCAAATTCCTATTCCATTTCCTTCATCTTTAATGGCAACTGCTTCAAGGACAATGATTTTATTTTGTGGCTTTTTTTTTGAGAAGATACACATTTTTTTCAAGCCATGTAGAAATGTAAATAAAATATTTTTAATATTTTTTGCAGAAGCAGAGTTATGTCAACAGGTTTACCTCTAGATGTTTGGGAAGGGTTTTCTGTGCAAAGACCTGCTCTGTCTGAGAGGGAGAAATGCTTTAAGTCTCCCTGGCTGTTAAGTAAAATAGACTGATAGTTAGGGTCTTATCTTTATTTGTGAAGATCCAAGAACAAATATCTGATTAGTGTGCTTTGGGGCTTTCCACATTGCCATGTCAAACTTTGTACATCTTGTTCTAGAAGCAGTTAGATTAAATCTTGGATAGTACAGCTGTGTGAAAAGAACTGTATCTGATTTAATTTCAGTACACTGACTCCTAACCATGCACAGATACCGATAATTTTAGCATGGATACCAATTACTGTAAGGGTCTTCTTAACACACTTAACATACAGAAAATATAATATTTAGTTCTTGCCACAAAAATATGGACATTTGGGGTCTGTTTCTTTACTGCCAAACTCCTTGTATGTTCATGTGTCTTCCTCAGCCTGTTGCCATGACTTCCAGTCATGCATCTTGTTCATTAATTCTCCCATGCTCATGCTGTGAGGAGCGCTGGGCATGTAGTGGTGTGTTTGTTTAAGGGCTTTTCTGTAGCAAAGGAAATGGAAGGAGATAATAGTGTTCATTTGTGAGACTAACATTTGTGAAGCATGATGAAAGCCTTAAATTGTTTTAAAGAAATTTATTCTTTCTTAAGTTTTCAATACATTATGCTTGTCTTTATTTGAATATTTGTAATAAATTTGTCATTGACTGCTCTTAAAAAAAACCCAATCAATGCTTTGTCATATATTTTTTTAATCTTTTCATTTAAATGCAGTAGAAAATACTTAAACAAAAAAAGAAAAATGAGATTTTTCTACACCACCTGTACTCTGAACATATCTGTAAGTGAGGCAATGAACACATTGAAAAACACCAGAATTTTCCAAGTTGTCTTTGGAATTTGTATTGACAGTTTTGTTTTGTTTTGTTTTTTTCCTGGGTGCTCTTCCAATATTTTTGTGCAGTAGATGAATATACAGAAGACATTGCTGAATTTGCAAATAGCTGGGCTGTGCAGACCGCAGACGATGTAGCTTGTGTACCTACTGCCTCAAATTTTTCCAGTCCTTGCTCAGCTGATGCAGAATCCACTGAGGTAAATTAATCATTCTTAATCCCCATGGCCTAGTGATGGTACAAGAATCTAGCAATATACACCATGTTGAAAAAAGATTTAAATGAATTGAGGCTTTGAAAAAGGGAAGATTCAGATCAGGACTGTTGCTAGGAAATGTCTGAAGATCTTCAGATGTTTAGCTTAGAAGTACAAAGGCTTAGATAAGATGTGCCAAGTGGCACAGCTCTGCTGGCAGAGCTCTTCTTTGCTGCAGTAAACTTGGGTTCAGATTCCAGTCCTGGCATCTTGCACCTTATTATTTTGGAAATTGTGAAATCCTGCAGAAGTAACATGCTCAGCTCCTGCATTGAAACAAAATGATTTTTTTTTGTCATTTCATGCTTTTTCATCCCAGATGGTTTAGGAGCAGCATACAATCAAGACAGCCTAGGCAGAAAGGACAAATTTCTGGAAGACTAACGAAGGAGATGTAATAATAAATTATGAGACAGAGAGATTCTGAATTTTTCATTATGTGCAGAAAGTATTTACTAACTGTTGTTTACTGATTCTCCTTAATGCACAGGACATATTCTTCAAGTGCCAAATATTCCTACAGTTTCCTTTTCTCAGCTGTCATGAAAGCATAGATCCATATTCTTATATTTCGAGCTGCATGAATGATCTTTGCAGGTAAGACTGGAGTTCTTCTGTACTTAGTTTTGACACATGAAATGACACACTTTTATTGGAGGCAAGAACTGAGCAGCACTGAGGGAACTTAGGAAGAGCCAAGCTCAAAATGAAATAGATGGGGTTTCTCAGTGGGTGATTTAGTGTGGAAACAAAGGTCACAGAACAAGCCTGCCTAGGGATATTTTGATTACTAAAGGTTGACACAGACTTAATGAAACACTAGGCAAGTACATGGCAGAGAAATCCACGGAGAAACACTACTAATAAAAGAGGAGCTGCTAATCACAAAACCCCTGAAACCTCTACTTGGAGGCCCTGAATCAAAAATACATGAAGATGATACTAGGGCTGGATCATTTGTCTGGCACAACTGGACTTTTTTATGAGCCCTATGGTTCAAATTAGTAAAATTTCTCAAAATTGTTTTATTTATGTATATTCAGAGTTGTCAAAAGAATTTCATCATTCAGCTTTGGTGGGAGTTACACCCCTCAACTGCTGGAATTATATGCACCCTGCTATTTTTTCTGTAACTCTCCAGACTCCTGCTTAGTTTTTGTCATTCAAGGTAAAGAGATGCTCCAGAGTGTAATTGAATAGATGACTGAGCTCTGTACCACTTCCTTTTTAGTGTTTTGTTTTTTTTTAATTAAGAAGTAATTGTCTTAAATAGCAGGATTTTTACCAGATACTATTATAACCTTCTCAGATTATCATCAATTTAATCAAAACCATACAAAACGATCAGAAGACTAAAAGTAAAAGTCACTCAGCATAATCCATTGCAACTCATTAGTTCATTATTGATGAATTTTTGGTTTTCCTATTTATTATGAAGTCAAGATGGAAGAATTTGTGTTTTTAAGCAAATCTCCAGAGTGTGCCTCCTGAAGGTTATGATCTGTACATTGATTACACTCAGAGAAGAAATGAGTTGTCTCTGTATGGTCTCTTTGTAACTCAGGAATTTATTGTGACTTTTGCAGAAGAATAATGAAAGGCAAATTTTCAAAAAAGCAGTTTTCAAATGTGATATTGCATCAGTGTCATGATGTAAAGCCAGATTTGATTTTTGTGAACATATATACATGTGTGTTGTATATGTGTGTTCATGTGAATTGTGTGAATGTTAAAAACCTTGAAGAAAGTTTCTGTGATTCAGAACCTCATTAATTTAGGCTTATTTCATTTATAAAAGAGACCTCTCTTCTTGTGGCTTAGTGTCAGTTTATGAAGTTTTTTTTGTAGGGTCATAGTATATGCCAAGTATTCTTTTTATTAAGATCCATTTAATTGGATTAGATAAGGAAAGCTGGAGAGACTCTGATCACTGTAAGAAAGAGTATAGTAGTGTTTGATTTGATAACAGATGTGCTGAAAGCAGAATACAAACACAATGTAATATATTCTTAAGACCATTAATTTTGGAAACATGATCTTGTGTGTTGAAAGACAAACTCAGCTGATCTGTCACAGTCATGCTTATAATAGAAATGTCTTGTTATGACTAGTTCATTTTGGCATCAAGTCCTTCACAGTGAGTGACGGGAGCTTTTGGACTTTCACAGTAAAAAAACATTGGTGATATCTCATATTGTGTGACTTAATCTGAGCAAAATTTGTGTTTACCTAACACGGATGAATATCTTTTTACTTGGTCCTGGTAAAAGCATCCTGTACATCTTCTTCTGTATAGACTAAGACAGAGATAATGCCTTTGCCCAGGGTTGTGGTATAAGTCCCTGAGTCTGTCTACGGCATTCAGTGGATAATGCTTCTGGTGCTGAGCACTTCAGCACAAGGTCAGAAGTCTGCCAACAGGGCTGTTCTTGCCTAAGTTCAAGGACTGACAGGCAATTAGAAGCTTGAACTTGTTACTTGGACCAGAATGTCTTTTGGCAGTACAGGTCAGAGTTTTCACGTCATGCAGGAATGGTGGTTTTTACCAAATGATAAAAACACATCAGTGTGTTCAGTATAGCTTGCTCCTTTTCATAGTATTTTCACTATTATGCTATTATCACTGAGTGGTGTCAGCTATGTGTGAAGAATCCTGAGCAGTGTCCTGTGGCAGAGATTTGTAGATAGGATCTGAATTCCTTCATTACTCTCTTGTTTTATCATTTCAGAGCAGATGATGATGAAACATACTGCAGGGCGGTGACAGAGTACGCTAGAGCATGCTCTCACGCTGGGTCCCCAGTGCGGGACTGGAGGGATGACTTTCCTGCCTGTAGTAAGACCCTTTAACAAAGCATACTATGTGACCTTTGAGATACCCAATGTATTAATTTCAGATAATTCCATCTTGACAGCTTTGTCACTATAGGACTCAACCTGTTACTGAAGCAGATCAGCCAGCTTCACTGTTGCTGGAAAACAATGAAGTCAGTGTCTTGCTAGAGGAATATTTTAATTCCATTATGATCTGATCTAGATCCATACAAAACTCATGTTTCAACAGATCATTTGAAACATCATGTGTGCTGATTATATTCTAGGACAAAGAACAAACATCTGCAGACATTTCATGTTGACCCTCTTCCCGGATGACCTTTCAGCCTTTACTGGCTCTACAGAATACTGTTAATCCAGCTTCTTCTAGTTATCACCACCACCCATCAATTGCAGTTTAGTCTCATGCATGAAATTTTGAAGTAGCTGAGATATGAGCACACGTTCCGCTGTCACAGAAGTTATAACTTCTTTTGGAGGGGTGATGGAAGAATTTGCTAAAGAAAGACTTAACTACTGATGAGAGATTCACCACAGTTTGTCAGTTAAAACCTCTCCAAACAATCCATTGTACTTGATCTGAATAATTAACTATAATAATTAGCTGAAACACTGCACGACTGTTTATTTGAGAGAGGAAATTCTCCAGTATGGAAGGAGAAATTGCACTGATGTTCAATGTATCATGTATTTTTTCTAGCTGAGAAGTGTGAAGACAGCTTTGTACACCGTGACTGCATCAGTTGTTGTCCACCAACCTGCACATTTGAAAAAGACTGTCTTGGCAGCAACCTACACTGCTTAGATGGCTGTTACTGTCCAGATGGTAAGTACTGTCAATTTTATATGAATAAAATGTGTAAAGCTAATATTCAACTTCATAATAAAGTTGTCAAAATAGACTATGCTTAAGTTAAAGCCTGAAAATATGAATACTGTAGATTCTGCTCTAGCTGTTGTTATTCTAACCATGATTCCTCATTTTATTGTGTTCTAAACATTTCTCTAGCATACAAAGGTGTCTCTGAATGAAATACCAGCTAAAATCTGGAGCCATCACTAATGCTTTTTACAATAAGATATTGCATATATTTAATCTGCTTTTATTTGAATTATTCCAAAATCTGTTGTGATTTATGTTAAACAGAGTGTGTCTTATATATGCTCTGTACAAGGAAGCAAATATGTGAGACCTGTACTCAACAAAAATCAGGTATTGGACTATGAACAGTCCTGTTTCAGAAGGACTAAAGATACGTGATACCAGAATTTTTCCATTTTTGAGTCTATACAGCTTTGCATGCTTAAGGCAGACATTTTTCATAAAGCAGCCCCTTCAGAGTGACAACTGCTTTGAGAGAGCAACACTGTTCATCACTGTGAGCTCTCTGCACTCACAGGCAACTCTTTTTGTTGGTCCCCGGGTAAGACTGGTGGGATTATCTTCTGGCAGATTTGAGTGTTTCAGTCAGATGGGGGAAAAGCAGTGATCCAGGGTGTTAACTTGGTTTTCATTTCATTTGTTAACTTCCCTCCTGATAGGTCTCATTATGGAAAATGGAACTTGTATCTCCGTGTCAAATTGTCCTTGTATTTATCATGGAACTGCCTTCCCTGTAGGCTCAAAAATTGAACAAGAATGTAGCAACTGGTATGTGAAAGCCTCATGCTTGTTTCCTCTCTCTGTGAGTGCTCCCCAGTGTTTGTTTAACATCATAGTCACATTTGCATTTTAAAGAATAGTTAGTGTTTATGTTTTATAGTCTTGGCCCTGTCTATTACTAAATTATTCATGCTAATCTGTGGAAAGGTTGAATTCAAGACATTAGTTAGCACAGTGCTTCTCTTTTTGCTAAAGATCTGAACACTGATTTTCTGTTTTGTGGTTTTTCTTTCTAGTATTTGCACTGGTGGCATTTGGAACTGCACTGATCATGATTGCCCAGGTATCTGTATTGCATTATTCTTTTATCTCCTCAGTGAACATAGGAGATAAACTTTTCAGAAGACAACAGAAGCAAATATGATCCAAGGGCTTGGTATGCTAATTTAAGAAGAAAGATACAGCAGATGGATGTTGAGCGTAGCAGTGAGCCAGCTGGTACAAAGCTGCTAACTGCCCGACCATATTCATTTTACCTTTTCCTATTTGCTTCCTTAACTCAGTGTGTTACATCCACCTCTTGTTTTCTGTCTTCTGTTTATGTTCTTTGGGGAAGATGGATTAGTTATACTGCCTCTGCAGTACCTAGGCCAGGTACAAGGATCTTCTCGCTTCTAGGTGCAATTGTAATGCATATAATAAGAAACCCATCATTCTCATGATCAGTGTGCTGTATTTTCTCCCTTGTAACAGCAGTTTATGTTTGGATAATGATCCTTATCTTTAAAGATTACATGTCTCTGTACTGAGTTACTCAACGGAACATGCATTAGTTGGGTAGGGAAACTCCCTAGACAGTTCCGTATCCTAGATGAGATTATACTATGAAACTTGTGAAAGAGAGAATTGTTTACAAATTAAGGAGCCCCCTGTGACTGAGATAATGAACAAGGCTTAACAGTTACTAACCAAAGCTTGACAGGTTGGATCTGTAGTGTAAAACAATTGACACTGAGAACCACTTCATGTGTCTTGTCTGCGTAGTATGTGCATGTGGGGTTTAATTATAACTACTGTAGTCTGGTCCTAGGGACTGAATGCCTGTTAGTAGCAGGAGCAGGTGAGATATGCTCCCACAGAGCACCTCCTGCAGTAGCTGCAGCCAAAATGAATCTAGTTCATGTGCTCTGACACTGCTCCATCGTGTGAATGGAAGTGCAGTAAGTAGGGATCACTGGAGACTTGCTTCAGCAGTGCAGTCTTGATCTGAATTGGAAAATGAATATAGATGTGACCTGAGGACAGCCAACTGCAGCCTCTTCATACGTGCAGTAACAAGCAGTGCCAGAGTACCTAGAAGGAAAGAGAAAGAATATTGCCTTTGGACTCATTCATGCCAAAAGATGACGAGGAAGGAGATTCTAGGAAACTTCAGAACTCTAATAAAGAGAAAACTTTTTTGAATTTTAGAGAACTCATGATTCAAAGACATCCCATCTAGTTATAATCCGAAGTTGCTGCACATTGATGTCTGCAATGTGAAATGGTATATCTGAAGAAAATAGTGGTATATAAAGTATTTTATTTCCAAATGCCATAACAGCTAGATAGATTAAGTTACCCTGGATTATGTACTTAGAATTAAGGAGAAAATGTCTTATCTATGTTTCTTACAAAACTCACAGAATAATTATACATTTTTATGCAAGTAAACATTCTTGTTTATCCCTTTTCTCCCAAGCTGAGTGCTCTATAACAGGTAGCTCTCATTTCACAACATTTGATGGACGTCATTTCACCTTTCTTGGGATTTGCCAGTACATTTTGGTAAAAGGCACTGGGAAAAACAAATTCACAATAACTTTACAGAAAGCACCTTGTGGACAGGTAAGTCACAAACATGTCCATCCATATTTTAGGCAATCTTGTATAGGTTCTACTGTAAATTACTGGGCTATGGTTTATGTTTCGTGTTTCCTGTTTATGCTTTAAACAGAAAATGTAAACTGAAACAATTTCATAGTTTTTTATGTAAGAAGCTGTATTCCTACATATTGTATTGCCTTTTGTAAAACAAATTGCATCTTTAGAGGGATAAAGTCTAGAGACTTATGCACATTTAACAAGTAGATACATGGTTATGATACAAACAGAGAAAAGCTCTTGCTGGCAGCACTGAACAGATTTAATACGCTGCTAGGTAGGCAAGAGGGTTTTTTTTTTGGTAACGTTAGTTTTTTATTTGATATGTTATAGCATCTTTACTTTGTTGGAAAGATGCCTTTTAGAAAACTACTGAAGAGACTAGCCACCACGCATCTTTGTTTGAATATATTTTGGCAGGAATCCAACAACAGGCTTTACTAATAGAGGTGTTTATAAAAAACACTTATCTGCGAGACTGGATTTAATGACATTATTAGTCACCTAGGCTCTCAGGAGAAGGAGCTCTCAGACTGTGACTCACAGCTACCCCTGTGCTGAGGGCTGGGATGGCTGAACTCATCAGCAGGGAGTGATACATTAAATCTGCCCTACTAGGGGACTGTCTCTCAAAAGATAGACTATGAGCTGGTGTATGCTTTTTTCTGTAAGCACCTCCCTTTGTAAGCATAGGTGTTGAGCTTCCTGTTTCTGCATTTCAGGTGGCCTCATGAAATGGTTGGTTAGGTAGCCACCGGAAATAACCCTTATCACAATTCTAAGTACCTTGGAAAGTTTCAAGATGAAAACACAGGGGGCCTGGGAACCACAAGATGCTTGGTTTAGTTATGTATCACCTTTTGTCCTGTACTTAGGTTCATAAATTTTGCCCGGATAGTACTCTTAAAATGATGGGTGTGAGTTAGTTTATAAGTTACCAGTTTTTGACAGTCAGATATTGATATGTTATTGCAGTATAATTCTGGAGAAAATATATCCTTTTGGTCTGCAGTCAAAGAGCATGACTACATTTCAAGGCGAGAAGTACCTTCATGTGTACAATAGTTTCTTTCTGCTGGATTGGCTGCATTTGGGCTCTGGTTGCACCAGCTTGCTATAGATGGGGTCAGACTTGCTCAAACACTGGTTAACCCAGCAGTGAGGCGTACCCAGGGAGGCCATGCAAGTATGGCCTTTTCAACCCAGTACCAGTACTGGCGACCTCAACCCAATCGCCACTAGATTGCCATAAGAGCTAAAATGCATTTCCCTAGCTCTTATATGCATATGCATGTTTTATTATATTCTAGATACAATTAAGGGTACTCTGTTTAATGCTTTGAGTGACAGTTTACTACCTGATGACAGTTCAGGTACTTCCTTTCTATACAGCTGTTTTTTCTTGTTTGTTTGGCTTTGCTTTCCATGGTAGCACTAATGTCTCCGTTTCTGATGGTGAAACTCATTTCTACTTAGAACTTTGACCACGCCTGCATTGAGTCTATAACTCTAGTCCTTGAAGATGATGTGAGCAAACAAGTAACTCTCACGAGATATGGTCAAGTCCAAACTGGCCCTAATCAAGTTTTTAACCTTAATGGTAAGAAGTGCATGGAGTAGATATCAGAGTTCACATTCTGTCTTTTATATGCTCCGAAGCTTTCTAATAATATCTGTCTATGGAAAGGAATTCCTTCAAGCATAACTTATGAAACTCACAGTTGATTATTTCTTATAACCTTAGTAGTGGTTCTAAAAATATACTTTTCCAGCCTGTGAAATGGAGCCTTTCATTATGCCCTCATTTCTTTGTATTTCTTACATTAGAGAGTACCTAGAATTCCACTAATTTTGTTAAAGGGGGAAGAGGTAAGAAAAAGAAGGGAGTCTAAGAGAGGCTGAAAATCATCTTGAGACTGATGTTAAGGTCTAGCTTGATTAAAGCTTATTGGAGTAAATGGCATGGAATCCATGCGCATTGTGGGATCTACACTGCTTTCAGTGCTGACTTATGTCTGCCTGATTTCAGGCAGGTTACTTCATCTTTTCAGACTGGATAATAAAATAAATCAGCCTTAAAAGGATTTTATAAAATTCAGCATTGAAAGTGGAAATGATATTGCTAAATTTTGTATCTTACAGTGAACTGTAGTAAGAAAGAGTGAAGTGGGTGTTCCTCTTTTCCAGCTTCTGGCAAAACAGAGTTTACGGAGTTCTGTGATGGTGCTTTCAACTGTATCTTTGTTGAATTTGTCCAGTCACAGTACTGCTTTTGACATTCACAGCTTCCTATGCAATGAGCTTCATAGATCAGATATACTTTCAGTTATGTTGACAGTTCTACTTCATAACTTTGTTTTAATTTAATTTTATGTCTCTTGCATCAGTCTCTATTCACTGCTTTGTCTGTTTCCAGACCCTGTGACAAATATAATTGATCACAAATATTTTGGTGTTAGATTCTTGATAGTTGAGTGTATCTAGTTAGTCTTACCAGTGAAGAACGTCTTTAAGCTCACACTTTGTCTGCCTCTTCTCAGTTTATGCACCAAAGTGTGTATGTGTGTGCATGTGTAAAGGCTGTTTGTGAAGGTAGATCTGCTTTAACCCTGCAGCTGCAAGTAGCCCCACAATGTGTATCAAATGAATGCTTTGGCTGTGAAATTTCCATTTTCTTGCATAATGGATTTGCTGGGAAGGAAAGCTGGGAATTTGATAGGGCCTTAGTTCACATACAGCCTAAACAAAGAGCTGTACTGATGTCATGTCAATAGTAGCAAGAGAGAACCTTCAATCTAAAGATTACAATACAGTTTACAGACATTTGCTAATTAATCTTGTAACATCCCTGGAGACTAAGAAACAAGTGGTTTCTTGTCTTATTGCTGGAGGCATACAGTAGCATTGCTTTCTTCAAAAAAAATAAATAAATGTGAGAAGTGGATTCTGGATAACTCACAGGTACAGAAAGGTGAGAGACTTTTTACTGTTGACAGTAGTTGCAATTCCTGATTTGCGTTGCTAATGAAAAAGAGATGTAGTCTCGTAAGTTCAGATGGAGAATGGGTGAGGTTATTTGGCTGCAGGTGAGGCTGTGCAGTTTCTCATTTTATTTTTGAGTTTTGAAAGTCTGTTTTGCTGAAGAGGTAAACAAATACAACCTGGAAGCTGGATTTCAGTGCCTTTGTTTTTCTTTTGCTATGTGCAGGGGCTATTGAAATTCAGAACGTATCTTCTTTGTTTGTTCAACTGAAAACTCGTTTTGGTTTGAAGATACTATTTGCTAAAGATGGAGAGAGGATCTATGTTCAAGTTGATATTGGCTGGAAGAGAAGAACATTAGGACTATGTGGAACATACAACGGGAATTTAAGAGATGATTTTCTGTAAGTTGCACATTGTACATTTAGATTGTTTTTAAGAAGAATTTAATTTCGTTAACATGCGCATACTTTATTAATCTAACCAAGGTAAACTCTCTAAATTAAAATGTTAGTGACTTAAAAATATGAAACATATAAATTTAGCTAGGTCATAGAAAACTACCATATTACTTACAGAAGCTATTAGATAATGATATTTCTTGAATGTACTTTTCCCCCTCCCTGCTTCTCCCTTATGATCAGAGCAAATAGATGAGCAGTGACAAGAAGAGTGGATGATAATACTAGGATCATCTCACCTGATTAACGCTTATTACTTCTTGATTCCCCATCAAGTTTTAATGGAGAAAAGAATGTAATTGTGAACCATAGGAATAATTTTATCAGAAGGGCAGATTTTACTTATTCTTTTGCTTCATTTCCTCTAAAGTTCCTCAACCTACAATATCATAAAAATTCTCTAGCAATAACAAATGCTTCTGAAATACTCGGTGAAACCCAGCATCAAAATGCAAACAGCTCCCTTCTAGAACACTGACATTAACTAAGAGGTTAAATATTTGACATTTCATTGAATGTAAGAACTAAAATAAAGGCCAAATTCTCCTCTTTATAAATGCCTTCTCCAGCTGATTTCAGAGTGCTTGAATTAGGTGTGAGGTCAGACTTTGTAGAAGTATTTTTTCATGAGTACCATATTGAGGAGAAAGCTTTCTTCCTCACAGATGGAAATTCTTTTGACAGATTATGTTCAGTGTGACTATGCATCTAAGGTTTTTTGATGTGCTTGTATCCTCACCCATGTAGCCCATAATGTCAGCAGGACAATTGCAGTGTTGACTTTTTCCTTTTCAGTTCTCCAGCAGGGATGATAGAAGGGACCCCACAACTTCATGCAAATGCATGGAAGGTTTCCTCAGCTTGTTCTGTGCCTATCAACATTCCTGTGGTTGATCCCTGCAATGTTAATCAGCAGAATGGTATGTTTTCACATGTGAGTCTGGAATTACCTGTATCTTATAATTATGGGACATTTTTTGTTTTCTCTGCCAGTCAAGAGGAATGATACGATGCGCATTTCTAGCTTGATGAAGGAAGTACAAGAGACAGTGTCTTGCCAAGACAATGTTCAGATCAAAGGTCCTGTCTCTGCTTTCTCAATGCCTGTTGAATTAAAAGTTTCTTTATCCTTCATCTATGCTCTTTGACACAAATGGATGCAAACAATCTGAGTTTTGTGTATTTGTTCAAATTCCTGAGTAAGACTTTTGGCTGGTTGACATGCCTATGTTTTGTGTTGAACTTTCACTGTCTCCTCCTTTCCATGTTGCTGTTCTTTTCAATTAATGAAGACAATGGGCAGACAGTAATTGCCAATTTTGACAGAATTTAAACTCATGTTTTTAATGTTTCAGACATAAGGCCTCACTAAGGATGTGGGATTTGGCCATATTTGGAGCCTGTGGGAGCAAGCCTAGAACAACCATAAACTTTTAAGAATCTGGGGCATTCTGGCTTTCTATGCCTTCAGCATTGGCTGTCTTCTAAAGCAGTACATCTCAGCCAAGTTAGCTTTCTCCAAAATACTTCATGCCCACCTTCAGTTTTGTGTTTCCTCAGTGAAGGCAAAGTTTGACATAAATGTAAGCTGCTTAGAGCAGGAAGGTGAACTAAATGACCCTCTGAGGTCCCTTCCAGCCTGAATTTTCTTGTGATCTTTTAATCATCACTGGAAAAAGCAGTCCCTGATTAAATGGCCCTGCCCCATGATACCACCTGTACTGAGCCAGCACAAGCATCTTTCCAGGTTTGTGATGAGCTTAATCTGATGAAACAAAAAAGAAATTGCTTGTTTGTTTTGTTAGGTTACTTTTCAACCAAGTTTAGTTTACTCCTTGAACCTACTTTACTGAGACTACAGAAATCCTTATGTCAGTGTGTGTTTATGTATGTGGGAAGGAACAGAGAGGATGAAGGGTAGGGATGCTCTTTCAACAGAATCATAGAATACTGGGTTGGAAGGGACCTCAAGGTTCATCTGGTCCAACTTTTCTAGGAAAAGCGTGACCTAGACTAGATGGCTCAGCACCCTGTCCAGCTGGATGTTAAAAGTGTTCAGTGTTGGGGAATCCACCACTTCATTGGGGAGATTATTCCAATGGCTGAGTGTTCTCATTGTGAAAAACTTTCCTGTAGCGTTCAACCAGAATCTCCTCAGGAGTAACTTGTCTTTATAACTCCTTGTCTTTCCCATGTGACTCCTTGTAAAAAATATTCTGTGCTATTCATTTGAGTAACTGTCACATTAAAATGGATCAGGCTAAACCACTGTTGCCTTCTCTTAGCTGGGTATGCATCTCACTGTGATATCATCAACCAAGAAGTTTTTGCTCCCTGTCATGCCTACATCAGTCCAGGGTTATACTACCAGCAATGCCGCTTTGATGCGTGCAAATGTGGAAGCAGCTGTTTGTGTAATGCTTTGGCACACTATGCTTACGTGTGTGGCAAGCATGGGGTCGTCGCTGACTTCAGATCTCATATTTCTTACTGTGGTGAGTAATGTTTGCAAAATGGAACATCTTTTGGAAATGACTAAAATTCTATTCACTCCACAAAGTACAGGGATTGACCTTTTTTTTGCTGGAAACTAGAACTGTGCCATGGGATAATGACATATTCAGGGGAAAACACAAATAGCCTTTACGTTAGGCATCTGAGTGAGGGACCCTGAGCTGTCTTACAGGGAATGCCTGGCCCTTTCCACTAGCTACAGAGAGAAATATATATGGAAGCTTCTATTAGGCTAAAGTAGTCAGGTAGTGGCAGGAACAGGACTGTTCTTAAGGGAAGTCAAGCCAGGGTGGCAGGGGCTCCCCAGGTCAGGCAGGGCAGGGTGGAAAATGATTCGCCAAGTACGATATAGCAATAATTTTAAACAAGGCATTTTTAAACCATACAGTAATGCCTCAACCTTAACTAGACCATTCTTCCTCTCTTGGATGGCTAAGTTCCTAGATAGACACACCCACACATATAAAGAATAGAGGTCTACTGCGTACAAAATAGACAATTCCAGCCAAGGAACATAAACCCACCTGAATCTAAATAGTTCTAACTTATGAAATCAGTAAACCAGCATGTTTTTCTCATGCATTTCAACTCACCCCAGTGCAGGAAGAGAACATTTTGCTTTTCTGCTTTGCAATTCCATGATATGCTGCTTCGTTTTCTATTTTTCACATTTTAAGAGTGTGTTCTCCCTTTTCTCTCTCTCTCCTCCAGCTGTGATGTGTCACAGTGGTATGCTTTATCATCAGTGTTCTTCTTTTTGTAAACATTCCTGTGCTTCACTTTCTATGGCAAATATCTGTGGTGATGACTGTGCAGAAGGATGTAATTGTCCTGATGGGAAATATTTTGAAGAGTCAGTCAACTTTTGTGTGTCGATGTAAGTCATAAGAAAATAGAATCTATGCATAAGCACATTTTCCTCTTTCCAGCAAGATTTAAAGTAGTTTTTCTGATGTCTTCCTCAAGATATAGACCACCTAAACAGGCTAGCAAACAATATATGAAGATTTCATATTCTTTTGTACTAATCAATAATGGGGCCTCATCTGTTGCTTTGTGTGCAGTCATTTACTGCACTTCAGAGAAGATATATTACTGCTTTAAAGAAGGGTGATGAAACTTTATTAATTCACGGGAAAGCATGTTTTTAACACTTAAGAAAAAATAGAAAGTATATATGTAGTAGCAATCTGTAAAGAGGGATCGTACAGTGAAAGTAGATAGGAGTGTCTTTTTTTCTATCTCACAATGCAAACCCCTTCAGTTAAATGGAAGGAAACACTCAATGAAAGGAAATAGTTTTTATTCTTTACTGTAGGATTGGTGAAGCACTGGAATAGGCTGCCCAAAGAAGTTGTGAATGCTCCATCACTGGCAGTGTTCAAGGCTAGACCGGATGGGGCCTTGAGCAGCCTGGTCTAGTGGAAGATGTTCCTGCCTATGGCATGGGGATTGGAACTGGATGATCTTAAGGTCCTTTCCAACCCAAACCATTCTAAGATTCTATGATTGTGTACTGACATTTTACAGCTCACTGTCATGTGGAGTTACTGAGTTCAGGCACTGAATTAAAAATTGGAATGAAAACTTGTATTAATTTCAGAATTATACAGAGCTATTGCTTTTCATTGTATATATTTTGAAAAGATCAGTAAAGTTCATATTGTAGGGATAAAGACCATTTCAAACTATTAAAGAGTGTGAGGTAACTCGGATTCCCATATTTTCCATGGTTTCTACGGAATTCTGTTGCTGTTCTATCCCATCAGGCTCTTATCACAGAGTTAATAGATTTTGCTATAGCAATTCTTACATCCCAAGATTTTCACAGTAACTTGAATGGGAACTACATATTTCCCTACTATTCCCATAACTGGGAAGGAAATCTCCTTTCTGTAAGACAAATGAACAGAAACAGCAAATAAATGATACAGAGATTGAGGAAAATCCTGGCATTGTTGAAGAGGGGAGGCGTTTTGCTACTGACTTCAGTACAGTCAGACGGTCATCCTTTAGTTTTTGACCTTAGAAAAGTGTTGTAAATATTAAGTTAATGAATTGTAAGGCCTGCTTATCATATTAGCTTCATAAATGGATTGCCGTTAAATCCACATTTCATCTTGCTTTTGTAGTTACATAAATACTCTTTTAACAGATCTGCCTGTCATTGTCATTACAAGGGCAAAGCCCTCCAGCCTGGAGAAATCCTCCCTACACCAACAGGCTCCTGGTAGGTCTGAGCTCCAAGAATTTTACCTTTGATGTATCACAGTCTGGATGCTACTCAAGGGCATTGAGAATTCTTTCACATAGAATGAAAGTCTATTGTATTAAGAATTTATTTTTGTTACAAACTTAGTAATAGGGAGCCTAGTAGAAATTGGATTACGTACCTGCTTATTTTAACAACAGGATACCTGGAAAATTCTGTAAGCCAGAGACTAAAGAATATCTCAAAACACACACATAGCGGATCCAGTCCTGTTCTTAGACCTGGGGGAGTTATGATAGCAATACAAGACTGGTTTTGGAAGAATAAACAATGTGATTCTATTTTGGAAAGTCTTTCAAACAAAAGCTTGCAGAGAGCTATATTTGTGTCATTTTGTATTATTAATTCATGATGGAATCCTGACCTCACTGAAACAAGTGGCAAGCCTCCCAGGTTTCCTGGTCAAATTTGTTTGTTTTACAAGAAATGCTCTCAACCTGCTGATCTAAAATCATGTTTGTGACTTTTGTGCCAAGCTTAATTCTTGCTGAGGTCTTTTATATTAGAGTTGTTATAACTGAAGCTTGATAATCACGTAGTTCAAGAGGTGAGAGTAGGGGCTTCATTTTTCTGCCCTTGCTATGCCTCTGCAATGTTGTTTTTTCCACATTTTTTTGTTTTTAAGTAAAAGTAAAAAATAAGGACTAGGCTTAGTGTTGAATGTGGTTTTCTCTAATTCTGTATTTTATCGTAATAGAATCAAGATGTGTCTCCTAATGTCTGTGCAACAAAAAATTTGCCTACTGTATCCTTCCATATACCCCAACACAGATGATAAGGTTTTGTGTAACACTGCCAGCAACCTGAATCACCTGGCCCTTTGCTCCCACAGAAGCTGACATAAACAGCTTCTTTTTTATTTCAGTGAAATTTAGGCAATCAAATAGTACACAAACTTCTTTGCGAGTCTGGGCCCTCATTAGAGATCACCGGTTAGGAAACATCAAGAAATTGCTGGTCAGAACTCATGCTTTTAGATTTTAACCCTCCTTCTCCTCCTTATTTCTAAATAGGGTTAAGATGTATTATCTTTTTTAACATGTATTATCTTTTTTAACCTTTTCCCCTTGAATGAAGATAGGCTTGCTTTTGTTTTTCAGTCAGTGTTTAAACGGAACAGTGAAATGTATGGAAGCCACTACGGAAAATACAGGTAATTTACAATTTTGTCTCATACTAGAGTTGCACAGAGAAAGTTTTTAACATTGCTCAGTCGTTTGGTTTTCTCCTTATATGTATTTTCATTATGAGATACTTAATATAACGACATGTTTAAAATAAGGCGTGAGGAGCACAAGTTGTCTTGGTTGTCAAAGTTTTTTCTTTGTCTTTTTTCTGTAGCACAAATTGTATTAGTAAGTCATTTGGGAAATTGAAAAATGAAATAATTGCATGTGAGGTGTAGGTCAATATGTTCTTGTGAGAGTACCTAAAATTAGGCTCACTATCGATGTTTAGGAAGCCTGAAAGTCTTGATCTCTAGAAAGCAAATTTTTAATGAATTTCTAATGGTTTAGAAGGGATTTCAGTACAATTATGCCAGAAAGTTATGCCACTTCTAAAGATTCTGTCTACCTAAGGCATAATTATTCCATCTTTAAGAATGGGCTGTGTATCAGATCCAGGGTGCATAGATCCAGATGCTTAACATAAATACTGCTGTAATACAAATGAAGTTATAGAATTTTATCCAGATTGTGTTCTTACGTGTACTGTAAACAGTACACATAACAAATAGACTGTGAACAAAAACAAATAGAAAACCTTCAGTGTAAAAGAGCAGTTGATCTCATTTAACCTGCATTTTACATTTAAAGTTCACATATGCCCTGAAGGAAAAATCTACTACGACTGCAAATCTCCAGTGCCTGGATTACCGGCAGCGGGTGTGAATTGCGGGATCTCTTGTGCGAACCTTGCCATGAACTTCTCCTGTGTCCCCTCACCACCCTGTGGAAGCGGCTGCATTTGCCCCCCTGGGTAAGCTTTGGCAGAACAACCTGGAACACAAGCTACATACATATTTTTCACAATTTAACTCTGCATATTTTGTTTTACTTTGTAAATTCCAGTGGTATCACACCTCTAAATCTGAACCTATTGTTCTCTACATTTTTGCAGTTATACAAAAGGCCAACTCTTTCTTTCTTCTCTGAGAGCCCTTTTCTCCTTCCTGTTGTGAGGCTTTGTGCTATAATACTGCTTCAGTTCCAGAGTTTGTCAATTCTGAGACCATGATTCCACTATCCCATGAGATATTTAGCTTGCTACCACTTGATTGGCTGGTATTTGGGACTCTTTAGACAGGAGATGACTCCCACCATTTGAACAGGATAGTTTATTTGAGTGTAGAAACAAACATAAAAAAAAATGGCAATGTAAGCCATCTGTGTTCCTGCTTACTGCCCAAGTAATTGTCTCACCTAGACTTCTACTCAGGCTTACAGTACTGATGCCTAACTTGGATCAAGTAGGAGGGTTTTGTGGGCTGGATCCTGCTCTTTTCACACTCATGCTTTCTACCATTTTGAACTCAGCCAAAGTTTTTTTCTCAGCACATGTATTTGGATTTGGTGCCCAGAAACAGTCTCATGAGCTTTGAAGAGGTCAATCCAAAGTACAAAGGCTAAGAGCATTTGTTATGAAGTTACTGTCAGGATCAGCTACCACTCCCTCTGTTTCCATTCCCTCCCATGATGCCTGATATGTGCATTTTCAGATTTGAAGAGTCAAATATGCTGTGCAGATTGCTGCAATTTGACCTCAGATGAAGTGCTCCCTATTTTTTCTCAAGATTTGATTTTATTTCACTGTATGTATAGCCTGACAGTGTATCAGCTGTGCACAGATCAGAATGTAATGAGACTACCAGAATTCCCCTTCCAGCAGCTTGTGATGTTCATAGATGATTAAGTACTGGTGAAGGACAGATTTCAGACACAGCTATTTAAGATTTCACTAGTTGTTCTTGCCTGGTATTTTGTAGTCCTCTACAACCTCTGCAACTGAGGAGTTAGCTTTCAAGGCAATTAGCATTACAGGAATAAGGAATTATTTTTAACACAAATACGCATGAATTTGTTCAAGGAACCATATAAAAACTAGTAAATTTTTACTTAAACATAAACATGACATTTGCATGAACTTAAACTAGATGCGTTGTCGTGAAAGTTCTTTTGAAAATTTGAAATAATTAAAATACATGTTAAAAAGCAGAGCTAAAGCCCTGCTTTCACATTCAAGTAGTATTACACCATTTCAAATCAAGTGTTACTTGAATATTTTTTGAATTATAAACTATAAAAGGGATACAAACAATCCAAATCCCAAGTTTCTGTCAAATAATGGAGTAGAACACGAGTTATTTTATTAAGTAAGAGAATAAACAGTTTATTATATAGAAAAGTAAATGTGCAACATTTAGTGCAGTTAATGCCATAATTGATGATAAATTGTATTTCTGAGGCCATTATGCCTTTCAGGCTCATGGTTCCAGCTAGGAAGGAGCCATAAGGGTTATCCTGAAAACGGGATTCACAAGTTCTCTTTTTTATACAAGAAAATGTTAAACATATATGTTACAATATTAAATCTATATTGACAAGTCATGAAAGCCTTCTTATGAGAAGTTTTACTGTTATGTCATTTCTTTATTCTCTTAGAATCATAGAATCATAGAATAGTTAGGATTGGAAAGGACCTCAAGATCATCTAGTTCCAACCCCCCTGCCATGGGCAGGGACACCTCACACTACACCATGTTACCCAAGGCTCTGTCCAACCTGGCCTTGAACACTGCCAGGAATGGAGCATTCACAAATTTCCTGGGCAAACCATTCCAGTGCCTCACCACCCTTAAAGAACTTCTTCATTATATCCAATCTAAATTTCCCCTGTTTAAGTTTGAACCCATTACCCCTTGTCCTATCACTACAGTCCCTAATGAAGAGTCCCTCCCCAGCATCCCTATAGGCCCCCTTCAGATACTGGAAGGCTGCTATGAGGTCTCCACGCAGCCTTCTCTTCTCCAGGCTGAACAGCCCCAGCTTTCTCAGCCGATCTTCATATGGGAGGTGCTTCAGTCCCCTGATCATCCTTGTGGCCCTCCTCTGGACTTGTTCCAACAGTTCCATGTCCTTTTTATGCTGAGGACACCAGAACTGTACACAATACTCCAAGTGAGGTCTCACAAGAGCAGAGTAAAGGGGCAGGATCACCTCCTTTGACCTGCTGGTCCCCCTCCTTTTGATGCAGCCCAGGATACGGTTGGCTTTCGGGGCTGTGAGCACACACTGAAGCCGGCTCATGTTCATTTTCTCATCGACCAGCTCCCCCAAGTCCTTTTCTCAGGGCTGCTCTGAATCTGTTCTCTGCCCAACCTGTAGCTGTGCCTGGGATTACTCTGACCCAGGTGTAGGACCTTGCACTTGGCACGGTTAAAGTTCATGAGGTTGGCATCAGGCCACCTCCCAGGCATGTCAAGGTCTTTCTGGATGGCATTCCTTCCCTCCAGCGTATCAACAGAACCACACAGCTTGGTGTCATCGGCAAACTTGCTGAGTGTGCACTCAATCCCACTGTCCATGTCAGCGACAAAGATGTTAAACAAGACCGGTCCCAACACCGATCCCTGAGGGACACCACTCGTTACAGGTCTCCAGCTGGACACTGAGCCATTGATCACAACTCTTTGTGTGCGGCCATCCAGCCAGTTCTTTATCCACCGAGTGGTCCATCCATCAAATTGATGTCTCTCCAATTTAAAGACAAGGATGTCATGTGGGACAGTGTTGAATGCTTTGCACAAGTCCAGGTAGATGACATCAACTGCTCTCTGCTGCTGTCCATCAGTTCTGTAGCCCCATCATAAAAGGGCACCAAATTGGTCAGGCAGGATTTCCCCTTAGTGAAGCCATGCTGGCTGTCACCAAGCACCTTGTTGTTTTCCATGTGCCTTAGCATGCCTTCCAGGAGAATCTGCTCCAAGATTTTGTCAGGCACAGAGGTGAGACTGACTTTTCTGTAATTCCCCAGGTCATCCATTTTCGTTTTCTAGAAAATGGGGCTTATATTTCCCTTTTTCCAGTCCTCGGGAACTTCACCTGACTGCCATGAGTTTTCAGATATGATGGCCAGTGGCTTAGCAACTTCATTCGCCAGCTCCTTCAGGACCCGTGGGTGGATTTCATCAGGTTCCATGGATTTGTGCATGATCAGGTTCTTAAGATGCTTTTCTTTTTTTTTTTTCTTTCCTACCTGATTTATACCACTACACACTGAGCCAATCACCTAACATTTTTGGGTGGAATCTTGAATTCTTCTGGAGACTGGCACCTTATTCTAGCATCCCTTCTACTTACAGTGCTCATAAAGTAAAGCAGCTTGTGAGTGGTATTGATAACCTTTCCTTTGGAAACCCATGACTGGATGCACAAAATGGTCCTCTTCAAGTAAAAATGTTTTACATATTCTACTGTTAAAGCTCTTGCACAATAGCTTGCAGATTTTTAATCAGTAGTTGAAGAGGTGACAAAGCATAAGAAACACTGAAAGTCTCTGGTATGCCATAAAAACTGAATGGAATAGCTCAAAATTTCCTAAGGAAATGAGCTGAGAATGACAGTAAATTTGTCACACTACGATACACTGAAAGTCACCCTAAGATTGAGCTGGAGAAGTAAGAGGATGAGCTGAATTACAGAAATACAGAAGAGTAGTATGGAAAGGGACCTAATGGGTCTAAGCTATTCTCCTGCCCGTAGGTGGCATCAGCAGTAACTATATTATTTTTGGCAGACAATTAATTTTCATTGACAGAGACTCTAAATGACCTCCCCAAGCCATCCTTTCTAGTGCTTTCATATCTCTAACCATTTTTCTGAACACTTGATTCTTTTTCTTAAAACCAATGTAACTTTAATGAACCAGTAATTATGGGGAGGAGAAAACTCTCATCTGTGCATTCCTTTTAATTTCAACTTCAAGTGAAATAATCTCAAGATAATTCTTTGAAAACACATTTACCTTTGCCCTCAGTCATGTGTAGCATTGACAACTGCAGGGATTGGTCCTGTAAAGAGCAGCACTGGTAGTGTCAGTAACATTTGTTATTAAAAATTAGTGTTGCTAAGCAGATGGAAACAAGAGGATAACAAAAAGTGGTAAACCACATATCTGGTTTACTTATTCATGATCTAATAAGATTTCCCACTTTTTGCATTTAATGATAATACTGTTTTGTTTTAATCTTGATAGCTGTTTCCACTTCACTTTGGTAGGCAGGTCTACTGCCCTATGTAAACTGCATTTTTGTCCTGATAACTCTGCAAGAGTTGCCATAGTCTAGCTCACTATCCTGTGCTCAGAAGAGGATGGTTGCTGCTCTGTGCAGAGAAGCAGGTACATCAGTCCAGCTGCTTTCCTGGGATAGGGGAACAAGGAAGCAGCAAAGAGAGAAGGGAAGCCTGACTGCAACCTCAGAAGTGTCTGTAACACACAGATGCTCTGCAGATTGCAGAGAAGAATAACTACATTACTTGCATTGCTTGCATAGGAGCTGCTGCCCCACCCCACATACCTCTTTCAAAGCAGGAGAGCTGCAGCTGTGAGCTTTGCGAGGTCTCCACCTGTGCACAGGAGGTCATTTGATTCAGAAAGCTTCTGCCAAAGCTGGTTGCTTGTGGTGGGGTTTAGGCAAACACACTCAGACATGCTGATCTTCCTGTGAATTTACACTTTCAATAATTCTTTTATTTTGAAGGATGGCTGAGCACAGAGGGAAATGTTATATTCCTGACAGCTGTCCCTGCACCTGGAAAGACAGGGAATTTCTGTCAGGAGAAGTGATAGCTACACCATGTTACACCTGGTGAGTAACATGCATTTTGCATACTTCCAGATCACCTTGGTCTAGTCACAAAGTGAATCTGGTACAGCAAATGTGCTGAGTACATTGAATAATCAAAAATGTATATGCTTATTTATAAACAGTTCCAGAATTTATATTTTATTAGGCTCAATCATAGACTTGGAAGAGTAGGCAGATTTTTGGGTGAGTGCTTCTTCAGGTCTGAAAATGACGCAAAAGATACCCAAGTTAAAAAGAAGTCAAGAGCAAGTGCTTGATTCCACATGTATCAGTTAATCTCTGAAAGAAAAGACACTTGACATTTTGGAGAATAGAATGTCATGAAAGGCAATCAAGGAGAAAAAGGAGGAATCAAATGAATGATGGTGATAAACAGTCCGATCCTTTGGGAACTGAACTGTTTGCAGTGAGTTACCAGTCAGTATGAGTGACTATACAGGAAGAAAATGGGGAAATAAAAAAGCATTAGAACTGGAAAACATGCTAGTGCCCAGCATCTTTATTAGGGAGCCTTACCTGACTCATATTGACCCAAACCAGTTTTTCATCCATTATAATTTGCTAGCCAAAATATCTATTTGCATTTAAGTTTGGCATGGCAGCTTTTAATCAGTTAAAAACGTTATTGGCAAATCAGTTGAGTTTATACACTTACACAAGCAAAACTAGAAGCTGTCAGTACTACCTTCATGAAAATTCATGAAAGTCACTGAATGTAGCTGGCCGGAAAAGTAATCCTGCAGAATATCAGTATTTATTTCTTAATCTCATTCCATACTTGTCTGAATACTTACAGGTAGTAACTGGAGGTCTTTTGTATTAAGTATGTGCAGATTTTTATCAAAATTTCATGAGGAAAAATAATATTGATGTTTTATGAATATGTTGTGGCATGGTATCTATACTGGAGGCTGTGATGGAAATATTTGCATAAGGCATAAAAATGTTAAGGTTTTACATTTGTTTCTTATGCATTTTTATCATACATATGTTCTGATAGCAACATTCTCAATGCTTTTCTGCCGTGGCATCACCAATGACTTCAAATGCAATCCACAGAATAGCTGTGTTTGAAGGTCTGAGAATTTTCTTCCTTTCATGAATTTCTGCATGGCTTGAAATAAAGAACCCAAGAAAGCTTCTTATGGAAGAAAAAGAAAAAAAAAAAAAGAAAGAAAATGACCCTGCTATGAGAAAATAGTGATTGTTAATTTTCCTTTACAGTGTTTGCCGGAAAGGGATATTCAATTGTACTAGTTACCCCTGTCCTGCTGTATGCACTGTTTATGGAGATCGACATTATTATACCTTTGACGGATTAGAATATGATTATATCAGTGACTGCCAAGCTTACCTGCTAAAGGTAGGAGAATTGTTCATACATTTTCATGTATCCCAGCGAAGGTTCTTGTGAAAGGGCAAGTATTTTGAACATCGGGAACTGATCTATAGAAACAGGCATTAAGAAAACAGGTGCAGAACAGATGTCTCTGAAAGGACGAATCTGAAAATGACATTTTGTGTTCAGCCATTTGAAAATGGTACATGGGTGTGTCCTAATGTATCTTTGTGATCTAGACAAAAACAGAAAACAATGTTTTCTATCTTGACCATGCTTTCATCGTAAGGAGCGAAAACACTATAGAAACTGTTCTAGAATTAGGTAAAATCTATGGATTTATTTAATACTTATCTATAGAACTAGGTAAAATCTATGGATTTATTTAATACTTATCTATAAACTCTGCTTGGTACAAAGTTAATGATGACCTCTGAGGCTGCTTGGAATCCCTCTTGAATGCAGTCTGCATCAGATCTGGAGTGTATGTGTATAATATCAAACACAATGATTTCATAATTCAACAATGAAATCCTTCATTGGGACTGTCTGGCAGCTACATGCTAATGTTCCTCATAGCACACATTTACAGTACATTGCTAGCCTTTTTTGTTTAAAAATACCACTACTGACATTTAGAAATACATTATATTACTAACAACACTATTGTTTATTATCATTGTTGCTATTATTGACTAAGAATCTGTCTTCTGAGTTACAGTAATGTGTTTAGAAGAATATTCATTTTCAGTCAACCCTGACTGTCTAACCTTAAGGAGAAACATGGTTTCTCAACAAGGACTACTGCAAACATTTTATCTCATGTCTGCTTCAGTATTCACAGCTGTGAAATAAAATAGATTGGGTCCAGATTTTTTAAGGTGTTAAAAGAAAAAAAAAAAAAGGAGAGAGAGATCTGGTAAAAATAATAAGAACTGCCTCATAACAAGCTCCTGGTGTGTATCATATTGTCTCATAAAAAAGCTTGTACTCTTAGAGGTGTATGAAACTTTGCACAAACCTTCCTCCTTTATAGGAGTTACTATAGGGGTTAAATAGGGGTTACTTTACCTGTAAAATAATCTTGCTTGTATGATGAGGTGGAAAGGTGGGCTGCCATTCTTAATTCTTATGCCATTCAGCCAGAGAGGTGGGTAACACACATCTATGCTGCTTTTCCAAACATTAGTATGATACTGGAATGTTTTGCTTTTACAAATCAAATGTCACCTGCCAATCTAGTGTGTAAGAAAGTACCTATCTGGAAAGAAACCATGGGGATTATTTGGAGCCCGAGAATGAAGTTGGCAGCCACGTAATTAAGGCATGTGGCACACTGCCAACAGGCTTTCTTCAGGTGAACACGATGACACAAGTGACGATCTGCCTATGTAGATCTGCTTTTCAGATTTTTTCAGCTTGACAAACTGGCTTTTCCCCCCAAATGAGCTAATGTGAGAAAGTATGGCCTAGCTTGTTCACCATTTTTCTTTCCTCTTTAGCATACAGAAAACTTTCCTGATCTATATTGAAGAGCTGTTTATCACAAATTAGGCACTGCATAATTATGTCTGGAGTGGAAAATGTATCTCTGAGCTCATTTTTGACTGACATGTTTGGAGAAGTTTTAGGAAAAATTAAAAAAAAAAGGCAAAACAAAAAAAAAGGCAAAACAAAGGATGGATGGGATAATGTGGCAAATGCCCAAGAGCTTTGAGTGAACTAAGACACAGAACTGATGACCTGTGTGCTGTGCAATCCTGGAATCAGAGGAATGGAAGATGGCAGGATAACCAACTCTATGGCTGAATTTGGCAGGAACAGACCAGTATGTCTGATTTGCATATGAAGGAAATGAATGGAAATTATAATAAGGAAATGACAATTGGGAAGAGTTTTACTCTTAAAAAAAATAATAAATTAGTGCATGATAAATCTTCCGAATTATTCCATGGAGACAATATACACATGGACAACCAGGTCAATATGTGCATATTTTAGCTTAAAGACCAGTTGGAGACAAATGTCAACAAATATTTTTTAGAGAGTAGTTTCTCAGAGGATGAGAGTGCAAACTGTTTGAGACCCAAATTAAAAGTTAGAAGTTAAAATACAGGAATAAATGGCCTTTTTATAGAATGGAGAGACCCCAATGACATCCCACACAGATCCATGCTGAGACCTGCGTTCATCATCTTCACAAACAATTTTGAGCAGGTGGTCTGAGGACTGAGGTGGAGTATGCTGATGGTAGAGAATCAGTCTGAATGACTGAAAGAAAAACAGATCACCAAAGTGTGCAGAGGATTTTATGGCAGAAAGCACTGCATTATAAAATGGAGGATGAAATTCAACAATGAAATACACCAATCAGTGAACAGAAAAAATAACTTTAACTCTGCTACCATGAAGATAGGCACTAAATTAGCTACAGCTATGAAGGAATGGAATTTTATGTGAGAAAAATATATGAAACAGGTGTAATTGGCATCTTCCTAGTGGCAGCCTGAATGATAATCCAAAGTGTCTTCTGTTCTCTAGTTTCACATATTCCGTTATTTTTATGTACAGTTACACCACAGTTGTACCACATACATGTGTGCAGTTGTACCACATACTGATATGTCTAAACTACATTATATGTGCAGACATGAGAACATGGTGAGGCTGTTCTCTTTTGAAATACACTTTGTGGCTCTTAGAACAGAGGTTTCCATGGCTGTCTCTTCATAACAATTCCTACACTGTGCAGTGACATTTTGTAATAGTAGTATCAGAGTAGTATAATGAGTCTCCATTGAGCTACTCATTGTTCAGAAAGTATGCAAGAAAGCCCTGTCTCTTATAACCTATTACCCGAAAAAAGCCAGATAGAAGGTGGAAAAGTATATGTGGTTGCAAAAGTTGAAATGCCTTGCCCAACACCTTGTCAGGCACAGCTGTCCCGGGCAATCTTGCAATCTTGCAAAAAAACCCCCCACAATGCTACCTGTTCTACATACCAACATATACATATATATATATGTATATGTATATTGAACTTAAATTGTAGAATCATAGAATGGTTAGGGTTGGAAGGAACCTTTAAAGAACACCTAGTCTAACCCCCACCACCATGGGAGCTATGCTGTGAGCTTTGTGCTCCCCATCTGTGAGGTAGTACAGAACATCATAGGTTTGATCATTACTAGTACACAATCCGTTGATATATTGGTAGTCCTCAGTGTTGTGATGAGCTGATTTTTATGAATAACATCTAAAAGACTCACCAAACACCTGAAATTGAAACATCTGAACTGGTTGTTATGTTATACATCAAACGCTGTAATAACTTTGTCCTTTCTTGTTTTCTAATCTTTTTCCTGTTAAGAAGTGGATTGCTTTGTTATCTTACATACTGTAAACAAAGGTGTTGTAGCAGTGCAATAAGGGAAGTAATACATACCATAAATTTGTTAGCATACTAGTTCTCCCCATATGTAGAACTGAGTCCAAGAATTATAATCTGAATCCCACGTCCCCAGTGGCATGATAATGCACTATTCCCATCAACGTTACCAGCTCACACTATTTACCTGTTAGCCTCCCTAAATGTGATCTGTTTGAAGTGCTCTTTAATTCGTCACTGTACTGCACTATACCAAACAAAGAAGTCATCCTTACCTTTTACTATGTTTTTAATAAGGAGTTCTTGTGCTCTTATGGGAGAAAAATCAAGTATCAACTTTCAACCAATTATGAATCCTCAAACTTTGTTTTCAACATCAGTATCATCTGTCAGGCCTTTTTGTTTAAGGTGACAGTAGATGTATGAATAAGCTATTTATAACTAGTTCAACAGATATATCTCTTGGTCATAAAATGACCAAAAAGATTTAATGCAGCAATTAAGAAAATAGAACAGTAATGTTTCATAAAGTGATAACTTCATCTCTTTCAGGGAATTAGGAGTTACATTACACACTGAGAAGTGAAGTCCCTGTATGGATAAATGATATTCACAGAGAACATGTCAATACTTGCTTCTAACATTTTAAAACTTCAGTAATTTCAAAGGAAAACCAGAAAAATCTTAGCAAATTCATTTGAATTTTATCAGTGTAGATCATGTAAACACATTGTTTTAGCTAATCTGAATATTGATGAATTTAAGCCAACAATTTCTTAATTAAAAAGACTTAAATAGCTTGCTTTCTTCTATTTTCTTATCTCTTTGATGAGGCTACATACTTTCCCTAACAAAGTGGTGTTATTATACTAGGAAAATTTTACTGTGTGTTATCTATACTTGTGGTCTGTTTCTTCCACTTGGTCTGTTTCATAAATTTATGCCTTCATAGTAAACTTACTCTTTCTGTCACATATCTTGGCCTTTGTCTAGCTTTGCAGTGGTTTTACATCCTGCAGTTCAATCCTGTTATTAAGGCTTGTTGAGTATGTGTCCTTGGAACCACTCAGACTTGTTCTCTTCTGGAAATCAGAACTGTATTTTCTCTGATTTGAGGGAGTGTCCAAGCAGGAATTTGGATGGTTAGTCTACCCATCAGAATATACTTGTGAGGGAGCTCTGTTGTAATGTTTATCTGCCATTAAAAAAACCCCATCAAACTAACAAAACAACTCACTGAGGTCTTTCCATTAACTTTAGTAGGTGTTCAATAAGGTCCTAAAGCCAAAAAAAGGAAAGGCTGTTTTATTCTTGTATCCTGAAAGACAGAGGTCAGCAGAACTAAGCCCTCATCCTCAAGTATTCACATTTTATGGATTAATCTAAAGTAATACTTTAAGGTATATGATAAAAATATTTTCACTTCTTTTCATCTGACATTGGAGGTTTGGCCATTTTAAAGTCACCTTTTCAATCTTTCTGATGCAACCATGAAAGCTGCTTTAAAGGCAAGTTTATCACCAGATTTAGTGTGTTGGAGGATCATTAAAGCAACAACCAGACATCTGATCAGATAATTGAACTGTTATGTCAATTAGAAGCATGGATGTAACTCTTCTGGGTCAGGAGACACCAC